CCAACAATGTCCACAGCAAAAACATATGGGAGATTTTAGAAAAACAGCTTTCTAGAAGCCTAGAGTAAAGATAGCTGTGGTTTTATGGCCAACATCATTAAAAATGGACAAACGATTAAGAATGAGAGAGAATGAAGGGTGGAATTCTTACGGAGTGTAGGACTCTGACTTGAACCAAAATTTTAACCACCAGTGGCATTCAGACATCGTTCCTGAGTCCTCCGTTACTGTGCATGAGGGGAAAAGGAGTCTCCAGGAAAAAAATTCCTTTTAAAGGAAAACAAAGCAGGTCTCTTAAGTCTGGACCAATAACTAGCCAGATGGGAAGGGCAAATAGTACAGCATGTCTCTCAGATTTAGCTCCTGGCCCAGCCTCTATAAACCCATGTTATAGTCCTTGGGAGAGGGGAATACAAAAAATGAATGCTCTGTTCCAATAAACTATGTAAGATACTAAGATCACAAGACAATCATATCTTGTTACTTATCTGTTGATTACTAACACACAGAGGAGAAAAGCTTTGATCTCCATGGTGCAGCATGGCCTCAGTGCATTAAAGATTCTAAAAACTGCCTCCTTCCAACTTTCACATCCAGTGAGTCCGCACTGGAGACTGGCCCTCATCCTCATGCAGCAGTGGGGACCATTTCCAAGAATGTGGGGGTGTCTCAAAGTTGGTAGCTTCAGGAGACAGTACCCTGAGGGTGGGTATCCCTTGCGCTAGTAGCAGTGATTAGGCACTGTCTTGCCAATCGGTTTCAGCCCCAGTTCACTCTTGATTCGATGAGACCGAAAAATGACAATGGAGCATTCTTGGGGTGAAAGGGTTATACCCAACTTTATTCCCACTGTGGCAGGTCAAGAGCTAGAATCCCATGCACTTCAGAGCGAGGCTGCATTCAGCAAGCCAGTTTCTGCCTCTGGGCCTCTCTGCCCCCCGCAGCTGTCTCAGTCTCTGTCCTCAGTGCTGCCACCACTCCAGCTTCTGCTCTGCTGTAGCTATGCAGCCCAGAGCACTTGGGCAGAGCTCTTTATATAGAATTAGTAACAATGTATTACCCACACGTGTGCAATGAGCAAACCAACCAGGGTCAGGGGAGAATCCTGGCCATAGAAACTTTAATTTTCTCTATACTCCACCCCTCCAGGATTCTAGCTTCAAAATCTGTATACTCTCAATCATTGGCAATAGTCCCTGTGCAAGAAAGCTGGAACACTGTAACCAAATTCCACAATAACAGCAGAGGTTACAACAGTATACAAATACCATAAATTGTGAATCAGATAACAGAAATTATAATAACTCTCGAGCCTGAGGAGATCCATTGCCGCCAAGTGGTCATCCCAGCTGTATTCAAACCAGTTCTACTCAGATGAGTTAGCTGAAAGGACCATGGGTGGGCCTTACAATACCCACCCTCTCCAGCCCCTAGAGAGTTTCTCCAATCTCTCCAACTGAAAGTCTTGCAGACACACAGGCTGGTCTTGTCGCTTTGTGCCTGACTTTGATTTCTTGGTCCTCACTTTAGCCAACTGCCGAAACTGCTCTGGCTTCCATTGCTGCCACAGCTCCAGTAAGATTCTGTTTGCCTTCTCATCTAATTTCTCTCTGTCTGTTCCTGCTCCTATTAAATCAACCCACATCTGGGTCCTCCTGACCTTCATGGGGCCCTTCAAATTCTTCCTCTGGGTAGCAGACCAGATTTCCTTACATGCTTTCATTGCTTCGGCCTCTTCTGAGTTTCCCAAGTCTGCTACTGTATGGGTAACATCACTTATGGGCTGTCCTAAGTGAGGGGCAAGAATGGCCACTAGGGGCCCAAAGAGGAACATGGGAGCCATTTGAAGCACAACATTTCTCATTCCCACAGTAAAAGTCTCCTTGTCTGGGCCATAATTCTATGGAATATAAATGGCATTTTTTATTGCCTAACTCCTGTAACACCTGTTGGAGCTTAGCTTATGTCTTCCATCTAGCAGGGGAAGATGGTAAATCACCCTAATTGGGGCACACATCATGAAGCATGGCCATAATCCAACTGAGGAGGTAGTGATTTTCTGGGGTCTGATGAGCATTTTTCAGTCACTGCCCCAGGGCAGGGTGAGTCATCAGGGAAGACAGTTTTCCCATTTCTAATCCAAACAGAGTAAATCCATCAACACCTACATCCCACAGATGCAGGAGCCAAGCCAATATCGACTCCGAGGGCTTCTGCTGAAACTGGGAGCCCAGATCCACCAGTTCAGCCTAGGTATAGAATGCTCCACAACCTGGGGAGGGAGCTGCACCTCTCCCAGACAAACCCATGGCTTCTGCATCTTTATTTTCTTTACTCCACCCGGCCAGGCTTTCAACAGAGGAGGGGCCCATGCCTCTGGCGTGGGTATGGCTCCACCCCCACCTGTTCATCAAAGCTCAGCTCCATAGGGACAGCCCACTGAAGCACACCTCCCATGAGGGCAGCCTGTTCCGTTCTTCAGGCTACAGCAAATCCTGCTGACTATGCCAATTGTCTGGCCAGTGGGTTTCAGCTCTGGGCAAGTTCACTTCAGTGACACCAAATAACAACAATGGAACATTCTTGGGGTGAAAGGGTTTATACCCAACTTTATTCCCATGGTGGCAGGTCAAGTACAAGAATCCTGTGCACTTCAGAGCAAGTCTGCATGCAGCAAGCTGGTCTCTGCCTCTGGGCCTCTCTACCTACACAGCCATCTCAGTCTCTGTCCTTGGTGCTGCCACCCCTCCAGCCTCTGCTCTCCTGCAGCCTTATAGCCCAGAGCTCTGGGAGGAGCTCTTTATACAGAGTCAGTAATAACATATTGCCCGCATGTGTTTAGTGAGCAAGCTGACTAGGACCAGGTGAGAATCTTGGCCGTAGGACTTTCATTTTCTCTATAGGCACTGTGGAGTAACTCCATGGCAAGCAGAGGCTGTGTCAGAAGGTATCAGCAAAGGGGACTGGGGGAGGAGGAATCATGGCCGACACAGGTGAAAGCTGACGTGACCTGGATGAGACTCTGAGAGTAGCTAGAAGTCCTGTAATACAGAGTCAGGGTAAAAATCAGATACTATTTATTACAGTTAATATGGTTCCATTTTATCCGTAGGCTGGTGTGGCTGGGGAAACATGGATTATAAGAAATTCTGATCCTATGTAAAGCTGATGAGGAAGAAAATAATAAACACATACAGCTAAAGAGATATATATAGAGATGCTGATGCAGAAAGAGGTGTGTACAGCCAAAGATGCATATGAAGGAAAAGCTCAGGAGGGATAAAATGCAGAAGAAGCTGAAGTTGAGGATAACAAAAACAATTCATTAAAAAACAGAACAAAACTGGAGCAAGAAATGATGTAATGCTGACTGATGGCAGAGAAAGTATAGCTACTTAAACTTTTACTTGTATCTTTTTAATAAAGAAAATGGCTCTTTAAGAGGGCAGAAAACATACAACTAATCAGGAACCTATTTGGATGGTATGATTATGAGACAGCTTCTTCATCATTTCTATTTTTTCACTATTTTCTGAAAGTTTTAGAATGAGTATTACTCATTTTTTACTTAAAAAAGTTATTAATATTTTATTGAAAAACAAGGAATTAAAATTCGACATACATAAAACTTAGTAAGAGTTTTAAATCAATGCTTCCAATGATGCCAACTCCACAGTTCCAGATGAATTACACCCTAGGGTACTGAGACAGCACACATGGCGACGATTGGACAATAGCTGGTAGTCTTCAAGGCATGATGGAGAGCAAGAGAGCTGCTGATAGATTATATCTAATGAGTTTTACTGTTTATAAAGCACTTTACATGCCTAATATTAGCTACTGTTATCTCCTGCATGCGAGGCATTATATGAGACCAGGGTTGCCAAACTGTGGCCCAGGGGCCAGTTTCAGATTGCTGCCTATTTTTTTTTTTTACTAAGAATGGTAGATTAAATGGTTTGAAAAATATCAGAAGAAGAATATTTCATGTTATGTGGAATTTATGTGAAAATCAAATTTCAATGACCATAAATAAAGTTTATTATAGCACAGCCATGCCCATTTGTTTATGTATTGTCTGTGGTTGCATTTGTGCAAAAATGGTAGAGTTGGGTAGTTGTGACAGAGTGTATAGCAGCCTGCAAGACCTAAGATATCTACTATGTGGTCTTTGATGACAGCAACAAATTACAGTTTCTTGGCTGGCAATTATTCCTAATCCATGACAACCATGACAGTTTTCATTAGGTCCTCTCCAGGTCCCACCTATGGAGGTGCACTGGGAAGCCACTATTATCTCAGAGTGTGTAAGTGACTGGTGTAAAGTCCCACAGTTAACATGCAACTCATGTTGGTCTTCTGTTTTCAAAGCCTGCACTCTTTTATGCCGTAGACATCTAGAAGACTAGTGATGATCGGATATTTCACTGTTTTTTAAGTGAAGAAAAGGGCCTTCTAGAAATTTTACTCCAGTGAGTTTCATTATAAATCTCAGGAAAAAAATAAAATAAATTGCTAAATGAGTGGCTATAAAATAAGAAAAGTATTCACTAAGAATACTTTCCTGCTTTAATCATGTTTCTATACTATAAAACATTTTGTATCAAATAAGTGTATTAAGATATAAGAGAAATAAAATTATAAAGATGAACTCTTACATTTGTATAGTGGCTTACAGTTTTTCAAAGCATATTTACATGTACTATTTTATTAGAGATCACAACTCTTGTCAGTTTGGCAAGGGATTGTGAGCCCTGTTTTGCAGGTGAAGCTCAGAAGTTTAAATGGCTTGTCTAAAGTCATAAAACTAATGAGTGACATAGTCTAGACTGGAACCCAGGTCTTCTGACTCCCAGTTCAGTGTGCAGGGCATAATAAACTGGCTAATATTTATTGTGTTCTTACTTTGTGCCAGAAACTGTTCGAAATGCTCTACCCATATTAATTTATTTGAGTTTCATGATGATACTGTGAAATATGACTTATTATTCCCATTTTAGAAATGAAGAAACTGAGGCACAGAATGATCCAGTCACTTACTCAAGACCACAGAGCTTACAGGAGGTGGCGGCACTAGGTCTGAACTAGACCAGCCGACTCTAGAACCAGAGCAGTAAGTCACCCAAGATTCAACTTCCTCCTGGGGCATCAGACACAGCGTCCTGTGATATCATTCTTGACCAGTAGCAAACCTCTGTGCTGGATGAAATGCAGTTATATGACTACACTGTCTGCTGAATAACAGTACTAAAGTAGAGACTAGATGTTTACTGTATCCTGAGTGGGAGTTCCTCAAAGAAAAGGGTTTGCAGTAAAATCTCAAGTTGTTCATTTTTTGTCTTTTGTGCTGTATTGCAGGTTACAAGTGCAGGAAGTGAATTTACAGTTGAATTATCTGCTTTTAACTAAGTGCTCTTCTCACATTAGAGGAGTGCCTGGAAGAATCCATGCAAAAAAACTGTGAGGTAGCTGTTCATACTAATATATATGTCTATATATTTGCATATTCTAATGATGCAAACACAACCCATCAACAAGATGACAGCAGAGCCACAAACCTGTAAAGTGAGGGGGAATCCTTTGTGAACCTCAATGAGACAAAGCAATTGATAATCTAAGCAGATCTAATATGTATAATCTCAATGCTCTTCTCTAGAAATATAATTGATAATATGTGAAACTATAGAAAATCATGAATAAAAATAATTTTGCAGTCAAAGTGGTGGGAGATCACTGGCATACATACAGAAGGAAAAACTGAACCTTGGGCACTGAGCTGGATCATTGAGTCCAGTAAATACCAGGAACATTCAGGTAGTTAAATATTTGGGGCTTGTTCCTATGATCTGTACAATTGCTATTTCTTCTTTGTTTTTAAATGTTCTGAACAATGCATAGTTCTGGCATTGTAAGCACTCCCTGGAAGTTACTTGCAAGTCATTGTAAATCGTGTCTCACCACGTCTATACCCCGACCAACAGCATCAGCATTTCCGTGGAACTAGTTATGCAAATTTTTTACCTCACCCCAGATCTAGGAAGAAAGAGACTCTGGGGGTGGGACCCAATGACCTATGTTTAAATAAGCCTTCCAGGTAATTTTATTTAATTCGATAACCACATATTGTATGTGTCTAGAACAGTTACATTAGAAAGACCTAGGACGATAGGGAGGAGTTGCTCAATATTCAGAGATGATCAGAACTGGATAGAGTATCTGCTTAAGCCACCATTTTAGTCTTATTCAAAGTAAGGTCCAGAGTCTACCAGCACCAGTATTCCTGGGAGAAGAATCTAGGGCCCCCTCCTCTGACCTAATTGAATCATAAACTGCTTTTAACAAGATTTCCAGGTGATTCCAAACACATAAATATTTGAAAGGCTGTGTTATAGAAAATAGTTTTCTAAATGTTTGGGAATTAACTTTTAAAATGTTGATACGTTGGCTTTTTCTTTGGGGCAAAATTGTATGATAGTATGATATGACACCCTTCGCCACTTTGACCTCTGTAGTACTATCATAACTCTGGTAACAGATATTTTGAGGGCTTCCTTATTTTCAAAAGGGCTTCTTTTAGTCTTTGATAATCAAGTCATTCTCTTTTGAAGTGCTTATCATCATCCATTCTGTTTATTTTCTTTTAGTACATGCACATCAGGTCTATCTCCTCACCTTTCCATGGCTTTTATGTGACCCCAGCAATTTTCCAACTCCATGTTCACTGGCTTTATGAAACTTATATCTTGTTTTAAAAAAATTCACAATCCACTTTAGTATCAATTTCAACTACATTTGTGGGCATTTACATCCAACATTCAGGCACCAGCTGGCTGACAAGCACTTCGCCAGGATGGGTGGGGATGGGAGCTGTGTTAAGCTGGAGGATGTTGGGTGGGGACTAATTTATTGTAACTTTGCTTTCTTGGGTAACTTCCTAACTGGGAAGGTGGGGTATTGGAAACTCATAACAACCACCACTCAGATAAGGGTGAGTATCTCTGGGCAGTAAAATCCATGTACTTTTTGTTTCCTTCTTTGTGCTTACCTGTTAAGCTTTCTAGAACGAGTTTTTTCAAATCAATCAGAATAAACTGTTACTTAATTTTTTAAAATTGAGGTATAATTTATATTACAATACAATAAAATGCACAGAGATCTTTAGTGTTCAGCTCAGTTTCAGCAATTGTATACATCTGTGTAACCACCACTCCAAACACGTTAAGAACTGTTCCATTACCCAAGAGTTTCTCTTGTGCCCTTTTAGATGAGAAATTGCCCTAATAGACACACTGCCTCCAAGGCTTTCTACCCCCTAGAGTGGCTTCAAAGCACTGCTCTGGCACAGCAGCCTATCCAGATTTTAGCAAATACACATTTTTGGACCTCTAGCACAGGGCTCAGGTATCAGAGGTGAGCAGTGCTGCATTTTGCATTTCTTTACATCTACCCCCCTAGTATATTCCTAACTCATATTTTAAGAAGAATATGAGAAAGATGTTTTCCTCCCATAATTTCCCCTTTCTTGCAGAGTTCCGTTTTCTTTTTCCCTCCTGCTTTGGAACAGCTTACTGCACTGCTAGCGGAGGATTTCAGTAGGATGAGAGCTCTGACCATTTGATCTGGTTAATTGTTGCAAAACTCCCTCACCTGTAGAATGCACTGTTAATACTACGTTCTTATGACAGATGGTAAGTCATTTAAATGCCTACAGGAGTATTTTGCAGCCCAGCTGCTATTCTGAAATGACCTTGCCATTCCTCCCTTCCCAGGTGGGGTCTGATTCCCCTTCCCTTGCATCTGGGCTGGACTCTGTGACTTGTTTGTCCTTCTGAACGTGACAGAAGCAGTGTTCTAGGACTTCAGACGCTAGATCACATGAGGCTCCATCGTTTTGTCTGGGTCTCTTGTCGGGCTCCCTGTGAGGGGCCCAAGCGCGTGGAGAGCCCGTGGTGTAAGTGTCCGCTTCACAGTCGGCATCGTCCGGCAGCCCGTGGCCAGTCAAGTGAGGACATTGTCTTGGACATCCAGTCTACTGGGCCTTCTGAACTCTGCAGTTCCAGCCAGCACCAGACTGCACCCCCAGAGACCCCCTGCACCCAGCCAACCCACAAACCATAATTGTCAGCCAGCTCCAGGTCCTCTCCCTCCTCGGGCCCTGGCTCCTGCTCATGTGTCCTCTGTATCGACTTGTACTTTGAGTGGCAGTTCTCAGGCTCTTTGCCTTCCTGCTCCATATCCTGAAGTTGGCTATTTATGCCTCCACTTCCCCATCTCTGCCCATACTGACCTTTACCAAGGAAGGTGGGCTTTCCCTGGCACTTGAGCAGGACAGATGGGCTCCTTGAAGACCGTGCCCAGATGTTCACCCCTGCGGCCCCAGGTCCTAGAGCAATGAAGGAGAAGAGGAGGAGGAGAAAGAAAAGAAAACAACCAAAAAATGCAGCCCATCATGTGTGGGTTCAGAAAAATGCCAAAGATTCCTTTAATTCAAGTTCCTTTCAAACAGCAACAGTGTAAGCTGCTTTCTCAAGCTTCACAAGCAACACTAAGTTTTTAATAGGCTGGGGTTTTAATAGGTGGTAAAACCAGATTTTGTTTTTTGTTTTTTGTTTTTATCCCAGAAGAGTTCACTGGACAAGTAGTTAATAGCTACTACAATTTATGAACTACCACTGTTTTTTTATGGCTTCTTGAAATTATCTTTAAAAACATGTCACACACCATGAGCTTCACAAAAATAAAGGGGTTAGAATTTTTATTTTAAATGATAAACATAAGTTCTGTGTCACATCTGAGAAAGCTCTTGTCTTTGCTTAAGAAACAGAGAGTCTAACCCCCCAGCACCCCCGCACCCCCACCCCCCCGGGCAGTGCGCACAGCCATCTGAAGTCTCAGCCTGACCCACCTGCCGAGGGCCCTGCCTGTTCCTCACAGGAACTGGGCACTGGAGCACTTTCACTGCCCTGTACTCATAAATCAGATCCCTGCTTCTCCTCTTCTTCCTCCTTATTTGATATGTTGTCCCTTGTTTGTTTTTATTAATGTTTTTTTTGCCTGCCTGTAAGTGTAGTTTTAATATAACATAGTACAGACTCTTTTATTCAGCAGTTTATTATGGTTTTTTTGTTGCTGCAATGTTATTCATACCACTGTGGGTTTGTGTGCAAAATCTATGTAACAAGTTCTGGAGATACAGCGATTCCCTATACAAAATCACCAAAACTTTCCTGTGGCAAAAACACAGGAAATCAGAAAGAAGAAACTTGGTGGGGAAAGGGCAGGGTTTTTCATCTGGAAGAAAGGGAGGCATGTTTCCAGGATCTTTAATGACCCCTGGGGACTTCCCATTTGGGAGTCAGGAATCACTGTGTACTCTTGGTTGGTGGGAAGCCTTCTGAGAGGCTGGAGTGAAAGCCAGAAGCTGTGGGATGAACCGGAAGCTGGCGGCCCTCAGAGCCCAGGCTGACCTGAGGAGTGGCGGTGGGTGGACTTCTGGGCCTGGGTGTGAACATCAGCTGATGAAGGATGAATCCCAGGAGCCAGGAGTAGCTCCCAGAAGCTGGTGATGGATTTCCAATGCCAAGACTAGACTGAAGAGCTGGAGGTAACAGAGTAGCACAGGGAGTTCTGAGGGTGTAGGACCGCCTGGGAGGTGGGAGCAAGCACTCACAGCGGTGATGGCCAAGGGGGAGTCATTTATCAGGAAGAGTGGAGCCCTCACAGCAGGAGGTGACATGGTGGCTTCTCCCTCTTGAAGTGGGAATGGAGGGGAAAGTACCCCACTGTGTCCATAACTTCCTGGCCAGCCTGTCTGCTTGGCACCTTGAAGGAGACAAGATTGTGGGGCTCAGTGGCCATCAGTGGGTACTTTAGGCACCCGTATAGGGGTTCAATCCTCTGTTCCTGAGTAGCAATGAAGCGATGGCAGGGTATGGTGCCCTGGGCAACCTCTCCATAGTCAATCTGGAAGAGAAGGGGGATCTGGAGCCCATAGATAAATTTCTCTGCTTGGTTATTTTATAGCTCAGAGTGCTGGTTTTCCTTCATAGCTTCATCTCCACCATGACCCTGTCCAGCACTGACTGGGCTGCAGACCCCTTGGCTGTCTATTCATTTGTCAATATCACATTGTCTTCATTAATGGTTTTATAATAACCTTGATATCTGACAATAAAAAGTTCCCAGTTTATTATTCTTTTTCACAGGTGACTTTAGCTAGTCTTGTGTACCTCTTCTTTGGGATAATCTAAAAATATGCTTGTAAATTCTTTAACACTTCCCATTGAGAGGATCTGTGTTCCTTTCCCTTATCACTTAGCAACTGCTGTACTTATGGCTGGAGCATTTGCAAGCCTGCGCATTCACCACGTGATCCTGGACTAGAAAAATATATTAGCAGTACAATTGGTGAAAACTGAGTTAACGACTGTAAATTAGTTCATAGTATTGTACCAATGTTAATTTCATGGCTTTGGTCATTGTATTCTGATTATGCAAATGTTAACATTTGGGGAAATACAAATACAAAAACATTAGGGGAATACTAACCCTGATCACCTCTCTCCCGACTTTTGTGATCTTTTGTCCATTATTTTGTTTTTTAGAAAACTCTACAAATTAGGTAATACTTGTTTTTTACAGACATTTAGGTTTACCTAGATGTTTACCAGTTTCTTTGCTTGCCATTGCCATTCAACTTACAGCTAAGACATTCCTTCTGGGATCACTTTCTCCTTTCTAATGGACATCCTTTAAATTTCCTTTGATGTAGTTTTATTGGAAATAAACTCTCTCCCAGTTTTCATTATCTTTGTTTTTATTTTATACCTCTTCTTAAAAGGGAGTCTATCTGGGTGCACATTTCTGAGTTAACAGTTATTTTCTCACAATATTTTAAAGATTTTATTCAACTGCCTTCTGGTTTTCATTCTATTCTTGGGATGTCTGCTGTCAGTTTGTATGTTACTTACCCTTGTTTCTGAGTGCTTTTAATACCAGTTTGCCCTTGATGTTCTGTTGCTTCATTGAATGTGGATTTTTAATTT